CCTGCTACTGATGAAAATGTTGCATAGATGGCTAAAGTTCTTTGCTCTAGTGACATTGGATCCTTGATATATGCATTGATATGTACACATTCATATGTGTTTTATGTTGTAAGCATTGTGAGTAGATACATAGCGGACTATTAGACAATTAAGTGAATATAAACATAATTATATTAGAGGGTTTAGAGTGTAAATGTATCTCTTATATATATATATATATATCCCTGAATGTAATCGTCATTCATATATATAATACACAAATTACCAAGTTTATCTTGGTATCAGAGCCGGCCCTAGACACCCTACAGCTGCCGACCACCCTCGGCAATCACAAGGCAACCCTAAAGCTATTGCACCCATCTTCTACCCTACGGTTGCCGCACCTTTCTATCTATCAATGACAACTGTTGCAGCTTTCATTCCAACTGAGAAAACCACCCATAATACCCACAAGTTTGGCTTCACTTTATTACCAAACAACTATGGTTATTGAAAGGCAATGGTTCAACCGTACCTTAATACAAACAACTTGTTCGGCTATGTTGATGGCACCATTTCCTGTCCACCGATGACTATCTCATCATCATCATCTGGAAAATATGCCGACGACACCACAGTGCTTCCACCACAACTGAATCCTAACTACACAACATGGGTTTCCAATGATGCACATGTACGGATGCCGATTATTTCTACAGCTTTGAGGCATCGTTCCAACACCTTCAAGGATTTACCTCTCGTGATATTTGGCTATCTCTTGAACATGCTTACGCTCCTCGCACATCATCTAGGGAATACACCCTAAAAACTCAGCTTCTTAAACTAGAGATGAAGCCTGATGAAACCTCCTCCGCATACCTGACTAGGGTTCAGGAATATGCTGATGCTCTTGCCAATATAGGCACATCAATGAAATAAAAAGATTTTGTGATGTTAGTCATCTTGGGTCTTAGAAAAGAATACAACAGGCTGAAGTCAACACTCCTTGGTCACCAATTCCGAACTGCTTTTGCAGAACTTCATGGCCTACTATCAGACCATGACTACATGATCAAGAAATTTGCAACTGACGTCTCTTTGCCTCAAGCATTCATGGATGTCACGAACAACCGTAACTCAGTGGTTCCTAGTGCCACCTCGTCTACTCCTCAATCGGATCAACTTCAAGTTATTCAGCAGCTTCTATCACAACTTGTTCTTCAAGTTCAACTTGTTAATGCACAGCCTGCACAGGCCTTTTACACCAACAGATCTAGGAATATCCATGGTTGTGGACATGATTCTAGACGTGGACGAGGAAACTACAACAACAGAAGTCAAGGAGGAGGTAACCGTAATCAATTTAGTTGGGCTTCTAATCAAAACACTATTTTTGGCACATGCAACATGTGTGGGATTCGTCATATCTCATCTTATTGCCCCAATCGCGACCCTGCTCCTATGAGGACAAGACAACCACCTTCTGCCAACTTTACAGATTACCAGTCACAAGCTTGGCTTCCGGGTACTGGCTCTAGCCATCATGTTGCACCAGACCTATCTAGCTTCGATAACTCTAAGGCCTATTATGGTGAGGACAACCTTTACGTTGGCAATGGTAAGGGTTTACCCATTTTACACATTGGTTTCTCACAACTTTATTCACCAAACAAAACCTTTTCCCTTAAAGACATACTACACGTACCTGATATAAAACAAAACTTACTTACTGTTCAAAAAGTATGTTTTGATAACTATGTGTACTTTGAATTTCACTCTACTTTCTTTGTTGTGAAGGACAAGTTCACACACACTATCCTTCTCATGGGTCCAAGTAATGGTGGTCTCTACTCCTTCCGTCCTCCTCAGTCCCGACTTGTTCAGAAAATGTCGTTTTCTACCGCACGTGCCTCTTCCACCACATGGCACCAAAGACTTGGACATCCACATCCACAACTTTTGAAGTCCATGTTGTTTAAATATATTTTACTTTGACAAAATAAGTGTGCTAGTACTTTTTGTGATTCATGTTATGTTGGTAAATCGTCTAAACTTCAATTGCTACCATCTATTTATAAAATTTCGTACATTTTGGATTTAGTTTTCTGTGATATATGGGAACCCGCTCCTGTTCCTTCTTTTGATGGTCACAATTATTTTCTGTTGTGTGTTGATCATTACTCGAGATTTATGTGGATTTTTCCATTAAAACTAAAATATGATGTTTATGCCACTTTTGAATGATTCCTTGCGATGTTTGAAATATATTCAAACCAAACTGAAATATGTCCAAACCGACTGGGAAGGCGAGTTTTGGAATCTCTCCCAATTCTTCTCTCTTCTCGGCATCACCCATCGCCTCTCATGTCCACATACAAGTGAACAAAATGGCTTTGTTGAATGACATGTTGTTGAAACCGGTCTTACTTTACTTGCTCAATCCGATGTTCCACAACGGTTTTGGCATTTTTCTTTTGACACCATTTTCTATCTTATTAATTGAATGCCATCTAGAACCAACTCAAACACCTCACCCTTTGAACATGTGTTCAAGCACAAACCCAATTTTTCCTTTCTTCGGGTTTTTGGATGTCAATGCTACCCTCATCTCCGTCCATACAATAAACATAAAATGGACTCTCGCTCTACACCTTGTGTGTTCCTTGGTTACAGCACTACTCATCATGGCTATCTGTGTTACGACCCACAGTCTGATCGTCTTTACATGGCCCGTCATGTTCAATTTAATGATCTACAAAAAAACACAAGACTGTCTCTCGGTCGTCAATAGAGTCTGAATACAAGGCTCTAACCGATACTGTTGTTGAGCTCACATGGTTCTAAACACTACTATGTGAACTCCGGATTCTTGTGAAGTCGGTTCCTACCTTATGGTGTGATAATCTTGGTGCTACGTATCTTTCAACTAATCGTGCCTTTCATGCCTGTACCAAGCATGTAGAAGTTGACTTTCACTTTGTTCGAGAAATGGTAATGCAACGGCGGCATTCAGTTCAGTTTATATCCATAGATGATCAGATTGCACGTGTTCACCAAGCCACTACCTTCACAACGGTTTCTCTTATTACGGTCCAAGCTACATGTCGCTCCCCAACCTTAGCTTGCGGGGGAATATTAGACAATTAAGTGTGATATATATATACATAATTATATTAGAGGGTCTAGAGTGTAAATGTATCTCTTATATATATATATATATATATATATATTCCTGATTGTAATCGTGATTCATAAATACAATACACAAATTACCAAGTTTATCTCGGACTCAGGAAAGAAGCACCTAAAAGCCATTTAGTAGATGTTCAAGTATTTGCGGAATTCTTCTAACATCTGTCTATGGTTTGGGAGATCTGAGAATGGTGGAGTTGGATCTATTAACTCAAAATACGCTAAAGACCTTGACAATATATGGTGGATCACTAGTTCTGTATGGTTGGTGATCGTAACATGAGCTTGAAGGCTTGCTTGCAGTCTAAGCATTGTCTATGACTAAAGGAGAATACGTGGAGGTAATTGAAGCACTCAAGGAGTAAATATGGTTGAAAGGGTTATTCAACAAATTTTGTTGTGATCTGCAAGTGAACATGATCTATTGTAGGGGTGTTCGCGGTGTGGTGTGGTACGATTAGCCGCAAACCAAACCGCATATGCGGATTAATCTTTTCTTCAAACCGCATATGTCTCAGACTACATGTCTCAAACCGGAAATATACCTAATCTCTGTTGAAATTTACAATTAATTGCATCACAATACTTATAATCTTATAATCAAAGTTCAAAAACAATTCAAGATTTGGAAGGCCATATAATACAAAGTTCCAATACATAACATAGTTAAACTCAAATTCATAACAAAGTTTAATCCAACATGTAAAACAAGTAAATGCTTCAAAACAAACAAACATGCTCCATCTTTCGTCAAACACCGGACTTCCCGACTAACTTTTGAGTTTTTAAATATCATTTTTTTGGTAAAATATAATATTTAATATCATATATACATACAAATTAATTAATAAAATTTAATATGCGGTGCGGTGTGGTTTGAACCGAGGTCATAGTGTTGTTTGACAAACATCATGAAAAGTTCTAAACCTCATGGTTCGGTGTGGTGCGGCCGGTTTATGTGATTTGATGAACACCCCTAGTCTATTGTGATAGTTAAAGTGCAATATTTTTTTTTACGAAGGATCCTTTGTTTCATGAGAGAACATAGCACATCGACATTCATTACCATTTTGTATATGAGATCATTACTCGTGGTGCCTTATTGGTGTCGCTGTTAAGAAAGATGAGACCAGGCGACCTAGGGTGGCCCAGATTACCGGTAGGAAGTAAAAAGGCATTGGCTAAAAAGCCTAAGAAATTAGATCTCAAATTTTTGTGAGATCATTATGGGGGTTTTATATTGCAAATTCCTCTCCAACTTTGAAGTGTGGATTTAGTTGCTTACATTTGGATTTTGGTAGTCGTTCACGTAAGCATTATGTTATAACTTATCACTTGTTGAATATAGTACATCATTTCATCTTTCGAGTTAAGGGATGACATATACACTTTTAAGGCCGTGGAACCTCATGATATGCTTGTGTTGTTACATTATTGCTTCATTTACCTGGTGTGAATATCGTGACACAATGTATATATTTGTGATCAGTTTTGTTTCCTCATTTTGGTTGTTTGGTCATTTGCACACATTTTAGGTATTTGGGATTTCTGTATCGGTTTTGTAAAGTCCCAACAATGAATCACTATGACACACTTGCTCTCTTAGATTAAAATCCATTTAATATGCATATTGAATTTTGAAATTATATAGTAATCCTTATCACATCCTTCTAACTATATCACATGCTTCTAACTATGTTTTTGCACTTCCAATTTATGTGGTTATATATAACCTTCATGACTTTTTCATACATATTTCTCTTATATATTATGTCCCAATATTCAGGTTGTGGTTCTAAAGGGCCAAACTAACCGAAGAGTAAAGCAACATGTCTCTTTCTATGAAAGATGTAGATCCAGCCTTTCAAGGCGCCGGACAAAAAGCGTATCCTTTGCCTTAAATATATCTGAATTTGGAAGACATTTTTTCTTCAAGCTACAATTTTTATTGTTTATTAACCAAATGATGAGGGTTGCACCATGTAGAAATGATTGTAGAAGGGTATATATAAAAAAACATGTTAAAACTAAACTAAATACATGCTTTCTGAGTGCAAATTGTTGTATGGATGTTAAACTGTACATCCTTCCTGACAATTCATAGCGGAATTGAGGTATGGCGCATCGAGAATTCTAAGCCGGTGGCTGTCGCAGAGTCTTCTTATGGTAAATTTTATACAGGGGAATCCTATATTATTTTGAAGGTGTGTTCTCTTATCTTAATACAATTGCATATTCTAATTATATATCTAATTTTAACTTGTATTCGTATCCTATGTTATTAGTAATCCTCACAAAATAATGTGTTTCAATGCCTATAAGTTATTAGTATTCCACATATGAGATTTTGTTTCAATACCTATAAGTTGCTTTATTAATTTTTTTGGTGTATTGTTGTGCTTTTTTGTTCATTGTTACTCTTTTTGTATTATGAGCCTGGTATTTTCATTTAAATGTGAGTTAAGCATCTAACTTGTAGAACTATCTTGTCTTTAAGAATTCTTGTTGTTTAATTGGTTACAACTACTATACACTCTTGTTAAAAATAACTGCTCTTTGAAACCTATGGTTCGCCTAATTTTGTTGTTGGACAAAGTGGACGATGTTGGGGTTTATATTTCCACAAACCATTGCACACATGTCCCATACCATGTTAATCAACTTGTACAAGTGAAAACCCAACAACATCATATAAACCGTTAGATATAGTAAATTAAGGATCTCCTTTGGTGTTGATAATTTTAGGTTTTCCTTATTTAGGTTCATTAGTTCTATATATATTGTATAAACTTGTTCTTTAACATACATGAAAGTATTCCTCTCTATCAGAACCCCTTCTTCCGTGATAAACCTTAGATGCCAAACTTTTGCACCTGAACCCTCGCCACCACTGTCGGAGTTCACTGAAAACCCTAGATATCAACCATGCCACCTTCAGAGATGACCGGACCTTGGTTGATGACTGTGAAACCCTAGCACGGACCAAATCTGCAAAATCCTGCTGAGGATGTTCTCGCCGTCGTCCCAAGACGGTCCCATCTTTCTAATGTCCGCCACCTCCGATAGATACCGGTATTGTTCTTTTTGCTTGTTCTTTATAAATGTTTCTTCTCATATCCCAACACCAAAAATATTGCAACTTCATGTATCTGGTTTGAGTTAGCAAAGTCATTGTTATGCCCCATATTCTAGACATGCCAAGGGAGGGTAGTAGTACATGAGGCAAGAGGGGCAATATCGGAACATCAAAGATTAGCTTGTTAAGGATACTTTACTAAATTACTACTATGAATAATGGGAGATGGGGAGAGGAGGGTATGCTGTTTTGTTGAGATCACTTTGCTTGGAGTTTGGGAGAGCACCGACCTTTCAAAGGTTGGTTGTCATTATAACCATTGTATTGAAAGTAAGAATTCCAAAACCTTTGTTAATTGACTCATAAATGTTCATCAATTTCAGAGTTGTCAGTCCTAGAGGTACCTAGAACAAGCTCGTTTTTGTCAACCGGATGATGGCAGTGGTTGATCCATAAAAATTTATGATTAGAGGCACACTCAGGGGTGTCAAAATTTTTTAGAAACCAATTAACCCATTCAAACCAAGATGGGTTGTAACATCCCCTCCTACTAGTCCTCAGACGAGGCATGTCACGACTGAAAACGGATTCAAAATTTGTTATTCAAGTTGCGTTAACAGAAAGTCACAAAAGATCACATCACATCCAATTACTAAACATAATATAACATGTTTACAGATTTGCATAGCAAAAACACTAATTAGACAACTAGTCTTCTCGCCTCCTAAGCAATCTCGACTGCTCATCCAGCCATTGGTTAGATCCTGAACATGCCAAGGTAAAACAACACAAAAACTCAGTTGAGCAAAATTGCTCGATGAACGAGTAATAGAATAAGAATAATAGGATAGGAAATAGAAAACCAAAAGGAAGCATTATGATAAATACTGAAATAATCTCAAAAGTTTGAACTCATACAAATAAAAGTCAAGGCCAGAATCCCATCCGTATTTAAAGGCCGAATTGAAACTCATTCGACGTTTTTCTAATATTTAGAGGCCAAATTATGCTTTCACTTCTAAATCAAAGTTGTAGGACTATCTATTAGGATCTAATCGCTCAAGATTCACCCCATTTGGAGAAACTATCGATTTTATATGAATTTAGTGAGTAAATCCCGTTTTGTATACAAGACTAGTTTTGGAAACTAACTATAAAGTTGTATTAGACACATAAACCTTTCCAACGGCATATCGCGCACATCCTTTGGACCAACGAGTGATTCTCTATGCATTTGTAAACAACCCATAACTATTTTTTCTTCTTTGCACAACTCAAAACAGTTTCGTTTGAATATGTTTGATACTAAAACCATGATGAATCTTCAACTATGTACCTTTCCCATACCATAAATAAATGTTTGTCACTTTAATTTCCAACTTCTTTAATCAAAAACAACATGGAAATAACATCATATAATGAAGGTGTTTAGCTTACTAACCAAAGCCTAGTGAATCCTAAAATGTTCCATACCCAACTTTGACATTAATCATCAATTTTGGTGTACATACTTGGTTTGTCTCTACAACTACCAATTCTTCAAGATTTAATCACCAATACTTCAAGTTCTTAGATCCTTCACCAATAAACCAAATTTTAGCTCAAATTATAGTATCAATTCCTACAAACTCAACATACCTTGAAATTTATAGAATCAAACTTTGATTCTTTAACTTCTCTTCAATTTTTCAAAGTATCATATGTAGGAATATATGGAATCAAACCTTGATTCTTTACCTTCAATTCTTCAAAGTATCATCACTTTCCTAATTGTATAAGGAGATTTGAATCATATGTAGGGTTTGGATGAATAAAGGATTTCATTTCTAGAGAGAAAGTTAAGTTTTATATGAGGTTTCTTGGCTAAAAATAATGAGTTCAATCACTTGGCAAAAGAAGGTATAAAGTTCTCATTTTGTCCAACATCAACCCCTCATCGCCTGATTCAAGATTGGTGCTTACATGAATTTTTCTTAACATTTTTAGTCCTAAGCTAAAGTTTCTTTTTATACATAATTACCCCCTTCCATAAAACTTCATTTTACATGTTTAGTCCAAATACAACTTCTTTAAGTATGGGTTCAAGTACATAATGTGTAGTTTGAACACTTGTACTTTAAGCTTGTATCTTCACGCATAGTTACTTCAATTGACTTAAAGTTCTACCTCATATGCATAAGAGACAACCCATTTTAACATGGACAAGTAGGTAATGCATTCTATATAAATCAATATACTGATATTAGTTGGTAACAAAAATCTAGTGTGTTAGGTTATTTGGTTTTAGGCTTAAATGGTTCGGTTAACCAAATAGATATATATTTTTTTTATTGGTTTTTGGTTGCTATTTGTTAATTGAGCACATTATACTACTATTTACATATTTGACTATTTTGGTTATACTTAAAGCAAGTTCACATATTACACATCAATTCAAATTCGACTAATTTTTAATGTAACAGATGACTAAAGGAACAAATCATTAAACCAATTCGTAATAAAACAATAGGTTGACATTTGGCATAAAACAAATTCGATAGTTGATGAATATATAAATTACTAGTCAATAGAAAGAAATTAGAGGGCAAGAGACCAATAAATTAGATTTGGTTAGAATGAAATTAGATAGCAAAATGCCAAGAAAATCATAAATAAAAGGCAAATAGTAGCAAATCTTGAATCAATATAACAAACCCGAATTAAATAACAAACTCAAGAACCTTAAATAAAATAACAATTAACAAATAGAAAACCAATAAGTAACAAATATAAATCTATAAAATAATTAAATGAAAAAAAGTTGGAAGAAAACCCAAATTGTAATTTATCAAATCAATTGGATTGTAGCAAAAAGTAAAGAGAAATTACAGAGACTAGAAATGTTATAGTAGAAGGAGAGCATGGTTAGGCAATGATCACCGTGAACTACCACCACCCTCGTTACCACGACCATCACCATGAGCTTCGACATGGCCATCACCTGCTATCACTCTGTCAATAAATATGTCAATCCTTAGTCTTTAGGATCATCAATACACCTGAAAGCTCAAATGTGCAACCGTCTCTCCCCTCCCAACACCTTTCGACTTTAAAACACTTGAGGAGGCAGATAATTTTCAAGTAATGCTCAAACTTCGAAGTACCTAACAACTTCATGAACATATTCGCTATGCTATTATCCATGTGAATCTAATTGAGTGATGAAAGTTTTTCCTCGTACATGGCCATGAGAAAACACTACTTCACACGAATGTGTCTATTCTTCAAGCTGCAAGCCAAATTTCCAACCAGTTGAATTGCACTTTTGGTCATCGCAATTCACTACCACCACATCCTATACGAAACTAAAATCATTCAACAACTTGGCAAATGAACTTCCTCTTTTGTTGCTTTTACCATATCAATTGATTATGCTTTGGTAGTCGACAAGGTTACGATGGATTGCAACCTCGCATGCCAACCAATGGCAGTCCATGCACAAATTAAAAACATACGATGAGGTTGATTTAGCACGATCTCTATAACCGTCCTAGTCGGAGATGCATTTGTTGCTGCCGAATATGAGCCCCTTATCCATAGTTCCCTTCAAGTCGGAGCAGAACACAAGCCTTGTAGGCCTAGGGGCGGAACCTAATCTTTTTATACAAATGAATCACATATACCAATATAATTTGCTTCGATGTAATAGATATGCAAGTACAAAGTGGAACTTCTCATTTTTTTTCCGCTTTGAAATCTTGCACAATTTCTTTTAAACAAAAAAATTTCAGCAATTTATTTTTTGGTAAACAAAACCAATGAACCATTTAAATACTAACCAACCCATCCATTGTATGCTGCATTTAAGGTCTTCACATATTCAATCTAAGGATATACGTTTAACCAAGCAACTTGAAAGCTACACTTATGATTTTCTAAGTTGGATCTTGGATATATGAAAAATGTTGGTTGAAGTGGATCATGATTCAATCTTGATCTACATATCAATTATCAATCAAAAATAACAATTAACAAAAATATCAATAACTAAAATCTAGTAACCCTCTCAAAAAAAAAATTAGACTCACAAACAATCAGTAAAATATTTTAGCCCTAATTATGTAACAACTTTCTAAATAATCATAAATA